AGAATCATAGAAATGGTAAAGCAACAAACAATCTAATTAAAATAAGATGTTAGATCCACTCACATACTCGCTACACTAACTTCTAACAAAATCCCATAGAGGGTGACATCAGAGGTCAAATTATATCAACTAATCAAATCATTGCTTGCAAAATCATAGTACATGTACCGGTACATTTGTTGAAGCTAATAAGTCTAGAATTTGTTCCGAATTCGACCTCTGACATGACCCTCTATGAGATGTACCGGTAAGTGTAGCAAGTATGCAAGCAGATCTTACATATAATTTTAATTAGATTAGGCAACAAATGGCTTTCATGTGAAATGTCTAGTACATAAATTAAGAGCTATCTACAGAGAAATTGACATGTTATTTGTATGTATCTTACACGTTTCAGATGGTTTTGGCTCAGCTGATGACAGGCTTGGTACAACAGGTAAGGATACATAATTATCTCACATCTACCTTACTTCAAATAGAGTAGTGCAATAAAGACTCATCTTTAATTTTTTTTTAAATGAAGCAAAGAAAATTTTCTGACATCAGTAATAAAGTGAAAGTTATAAGAGAGGCAAGCTGAAATTTAATGTCTACATTCAGTACTGGCTCTTTGTTACAGTGGATCATTCCAACAGTAAACAATTCCCTCAAACCATTAACTGACATGGAAATTCCATTAGTGATTGAAAGACTGCTGAAATTATCTGTAAGTCACCACACCTTTTACAAATGATGTTTAGCTGCTAGACACAGACTGTTGTTTTGAAAATTACATGCATATGTCTATCCTGAATTTGGATTTTCTAGCTGAATTTGATAACAATCCAAAGGTTGGAATTCTAAAAAAGTTTTTTAACACTTTTTTTAAATACACATGTATTAATTGATTATCAAGGTCAGTTTTCCATCTATAATGAAATAACTCTGTGTTCCAGATTCCCAACCACCTAATATGGCTGATCTTTTTCTATTGGTTCTTCCATTCTTGCCTAAATGTTACAGCAGAACTGCTGAGGTTTGGAGACAGAGAATTCTACAAAGACTGGTGGTGAGAGCCGTACTGGACTTTGTCTGATTTTATTTTACACTCTTCACTCCCTCAAAAAGTGCTTTCTTTTGTAACTTATTTTGATATTTTGACATTACTTTAAAGTCTTCATTCTCTGTTGAGTGGCATTCTTGATTGTAATTTGTTAAAATGTGACCTTACTATGGAGTCTTCACTCACTGATTTCTTTGGCAGGAACTCAGATTCAATCTCTGAATTCTGGCAAAACTGGAATATTCCTGTCCACAGATGGGCACTCAGGTAATTAGCAAAACATTAATAACTTTCCATATATGATATTTCTATAGATAAAAATGAAAATTTAATTCACATTTCATACATGTATAGTCTATGCTAGCTATACAGCCTTCCTCTTTTTTTCAGACATTTATACAAACCCCTTCTGATATTTTGACATTACTTTAAAGTCTTCATTCTCTGTTGAGTGGCTCTGACCTTACTAAGTCTTTTGTTAAAATGTGACCTGTCCACAGATGGGCACTCAGGTAATTGATATTTCTATAGATAAAAATGAAACTTTAATTCACATTTCACATGTATATTTCTAGCTATACAGCCTTCCTCTTTTTTTAGACATTTATACAAACCCCTTCTTCACGAGGCGTATCAAAACAAGTGGCTTCTGTGGCAGTGTTTGCTACCTCAGCTTTTTTCCATGAGGTGAGTTCTTCAATCAGCCTAACTATGTACAAAGACATGTACCATAATTCTGAACCATTTGTGTACTGTAGCGATAGTAATCTTTATCATTTTCTGAAGCATTGTTGATCATTGAGCCTTTTTTTCCTTTACAGTATTTACTTAGTGTTCCTCTGAGAATGTTCCGGGTCTGGGCTTTTACTGCCATGCTTGGACAGGTAAGGGCATACGCACCTACTAAGGATTTCATAGATTAGACCTTAACTTTGCATGTATTTGTTATCAACATGAATTTCATAAATATTGAATATTTTTCAAACCTTTCAGGTACCACTAGCAATGCTGACAGCAAAGTTCTGTAAAGGGCGTCATCAGGTAGGAAACATGATCGTCTGGTTGTCGTTAATTCTGGGACAGCCGATTGCCATCCTAGCCTACGTCCATGACTATTACGTCGGAAACGTGCTTCTCTCTTTTCACAACTTAAAGACATGAAAATTTTTATAGAGATAATAGAATAAAAAAGTTAAATATATACATAATTGGAATGATGTGCCATAATAATTGTCAGGCGAGGTATGAGAGATTACGTTGTGATTGACTGAAATCTATGTTTATAAAACATTGGATGGGTTATAATAACACAGGTGTAAGAAAACATGAACTATTTTCTTATTACATGTATTTGTATTTGATTGTACATAATAAAGGTTTTATATAAAACTGTTTAATTTTGTAATATTTGTACAATTTTTGCTATTATGTACACTTTTTCTAGTACCTCACAAGAATTCAACTCTTTAGTTTCTTAGGAAAAAAAGTTTTTAAAAAATATGTAATAAAAGAGAGTTTTCTAGGTGAATTTCACATGAAGAAGCAATTGTTGACATGGTTTTTTGTGTGAAACTGATGAAATCAACATAATAAATGTTTGCCTGTGAACTGCAGCAATTTGTCTTGAATTAAAGAAACATTATAAATGTCATTCTTGTTTTTATAAATCCTTAAAATTATGTGAATAGAGTGCATTCATTACTTCTCTGTATTTTTGGTTTCATTAATGAATAGAAAAGGTTACTTTATAATTTAATACACATATATGATGGTACTATCTTTATCATAGTTTGTTTATGTGCTTTATCTTTAATAATAATATGCAGGTGTTTTCGTTGTGCCTTTGACCAAGTAAACCACCCAGCAAATTATTGTATCTACGAAAGTTTTAACAAGGATTCAATTTTGGCATTTTAAACAAGGGTATATTGAGATTGCTTAAATCATTGTTAACAATTTCTTCCCACACATGAGGTTACAGTAACTGTTACTTTTCAAGGCATCACAAAATTTCTAAAGTTACTTCTCACTAAAATGTATGACTTTTTTTTTTTTTAAATAAACATTAAATTTGTGTCTCATTAAAGATTCCACTGATACAGTATTTCACATACATATAAAATAGTATTGAGGGTCTTACTTCTTATTCACAAGACTAGTTTCTAATAGATGCGTAATAGATGCGTATTTGGGTGAAAATAAATTCTTTAAAATCTCTCTCAGTAAGAAAGCTGCACTTTGAAAAGATTCAGAATTATCTAGTGAGAAAGTCTTCATATAAAACAAATTAATGCTGAGACCAGGCTTAGTCTTCATCGACTTTTTGACGTAGGTCAAGTATTCCAATATCAGCTGCACATGTACTGTTTGTACGCCATTACTTGTAACAATGTATAACAACTTTACAATGTTAGTAATTCCTCTCTGATCTCTTGTCTCTTGAGATGCAATTTTGAGCTGTGATTCTCCAAAATCATTTATTAATATTCATGGAAATATGTTGCTTACTGCATTGTAGCTGACCATCAAGAACTTTAAAAACTTCTACAACAATCTGTACGAGACATCAAGCTATCTATGATACTATATTGTCATGTATATGATGGGTTTGTTTACATACATGTGGCTTGTATTGTTATATTTTCTGTCTCAACCAAAGTTAAAGTTGTATTACATGCTTATGTTTAAATTACATGAATAAAAGAAACATGTGACAAACTTTTATCTTTATTAATGCCATCAACAGATGTCTGAGCTTTATGATTTAACAAAACATAAGTGCAACACATTTAGTTATACTTTCGTTGAATATTCACAACATGTTACGGGTAGAAATGAAGAGAATTAGGATATTGCTGCCTGTGGAAAATATATTTTTTGCTATGTCATAAGTTATGAGATATGTTGTAATTAAAAGAAATTAAGTCACACACATGAAATAACTCATATGAACCACATTTGACATAATTGAAGCTTTTTTCGTACATATCACTTATTACAAATATAATCTCATTCTTACAACTTAGTTTGTTGGTGCAGGTATTACAACAAATTACATGTACGTATTTCTGCTTATAAACTTGTTTTATGACTTAGTATATACATGTATCTCAGTTGTATCTTGTAATGTGACTTATTATTTTATTGACTGGTATCTCATATACTAGAAGATGCTTGTATTACTAGTATCTCATAATTAAAATGATCCTGTTCATACAACTTGGTATCTCCTATGCATTGACATAGCAAAACATATTTTCAACTGGGAACAATACAATTCCATAGAAATGTGCTGATTGCAGACAGTCTTTAATTTAATTTAATCTTATGAAAACACACTTTTTTGAGCATGATAGAAATAAAAAAGTAATAATCAGTTATAATGGTCAGATTAATACTGACTGTTAACCAGGTCCAGTCCAAAGACTATTTCTACCTACGAAGCTATTAATAGCTACCTAGGTATTTAAAGCTACCGAAAGTAGCTATTTTTACCTACTTTCTGCGTTACTTGCATTTTGTGGCCAAATGAAGGAACGGCGCAACATGGTGAGCACAAAATTTTTTGATACAGTCACACTGATGATGGATATGACAAAAATTTGGCCAAAAAATGATTACTTCGTATATTATCAATTTTGCATAGAAACAAATGTAAAATTGCCGATTCAGGAAGTAATCATGTTTTGGCCAAAATTTTGTCGTATTCATCATTAGTGTGACAGTATCAAAAGATATGGTATTCATCATGTTGCGCCGTTTGGTCTTTGTGCTGCAAAATGCAGAAATTATAAAAAGTAGGTAAAAATAGCTACTTTGGGTAGCTTTAAATACCTAGGTAGCTATTAATAGCTACGTAGGTAGAAATAGTCTTTGGACTGGACCTGTTAACAATTTGTTCTCTCAGAAACTGACATCTCGAGTGAGATCAAAGACTTGATAAAAATTAGAACTGCATGGTTTGCACTTATATCCAGAATACAATTTGCTATATATATTATTTCTAAAGTTGAGCAAACCACAAAACAACAATTTTAAAAACAGATTTAATGGTAAAATAAAAAAAAAATAACAGAATAAATAAGTACAAATATCAGTGGACTTATATTTGTTCCAATCTATCACAGCTCATTTGTCAGTTGATTTACACTTTGTTCCGAATCATCTATCACTGATCATTTGTGAGATGAATTATGATTTGATTAAATCTATCACAGATCATTTGTCAGACAATTTATAGTTTGTTCCAATCTATCATGGATCATTTGTCAGTTGATTTACAGTTTGTTCCGAATCTATCACAGATCACTTGTCAGTTGATTTATAGTTTGTTCCAAATCTTTCATTAATTATCTCTAAGGCAATTCTTACAGTCAGATTGGTCAGAAACATTTCTCCTGTGTCCATCTAAACAAACAGGTAATTTAAAACATCAAAACATAGGTATAGTATCATAATGGCAATATCATGATTAACATGGTATTATAATTTATCAGTGATATGGATATTTTCCTGTACTTTTAAGGCATTCTATTAAAATATTTATCTGACAAAAAGAACCGATAAGTTAAAATCATTATGGCACTTAACACAGTTTACAAAATGAATGAAATTTTATGCATTTTGAAAATCCCTTACTTTACAAATTTGAAGATATATTTTCCCTTTCTGATCTGCATATTCTATTGACATGATTCCATCGTATCGGTAGTCAAAATCAAACACTGTAATAAAATTATTCAGCATAATGAAAACATCAAATAGATAATGATACATTCTGTTTATAAAAAAGTATTGCAAAGCTAGAGGATTGAAGGGCATGTTTTTAAAGATGAAAGTACGTTGTTTGTTATACAAAAAAAAAAAAAAAACATTGAAGAAATATGTAAAACTGAGAGTTATTGTATACTTATGCCAAATGAGTGCTAAATATTTTAAGAACATGTTACATACAACAATTTAATAAACTTTTGTTTTAAATAATGGTAAGAATTGTTTCTAAAGAAATCCAAATGTAAATAGATCACATACTTTTTGAAATGTCTTTATTCCTTTCAATTTTCACCAAAGAACTGAAAAAAATATACATCTTTTAAAATACCAAAAAATCCAAGGTCTACTGTTCTAAGTATTGTACATGGCAATGTTTATTCTATTCTTAATTCTGCTGGTGAGATATGATAGACATGAACATGTACCTTGCTGTCCAAAAAACACTGCTTCCTTCATCCAACATGGTTAGATCCAACACCATTACATCCTGTGAAGAGAAAAATTAATAAGTTGAAATCACAATTGTTTACTCCAGGTCATTTCTGTTTTTTGTGAAGCTGGCTATCTGGACATATTCAACCTGACAGTAGACTTACAGTAGTAGGCCAGAATCAAGTCAAGGCCAAAATGCACTCCCCACTCAAAACTAACTACATGTACTATATTGTATCAAAATTAAGCTTCTATTGGTTTTATTTACTTTTTATAGTCTAAGATGTGCAGTTCCTTTGACCATGACTTTTTCAATTTAAGCTTGTGTGCCCTTATCGGATGTACAGTAGGCGAATTTAAATTGGGGTGAATTCAAAGACTACACTATTCTCCTTTTTAATACATCTACACCTGGGTGAATTTAACAAGGTAAAATTGTTTGATAATGGGAAAGGGTGAAAATAAAACAGGGCAAAAATAATCTTGTATTTGAACTTTGACTTTTTGCAAATTACCTTGGTTTAAAGTGTTAAAATTTATTTTTAAAACAAACTTTCATGTGTCAGTTTTTTTTTTTTTTTATTAATTATGAACTTATGATATTTCTCCATTAAAAACTAATGTTCAAGAAATGCATTTTATGCCTCAAATTATGATGACCCTGTTTTCAAGGTTAAGACCATTCTTTGCCATAAGCAACCATTTTCCCTGGTTCTTCTCATAATTCTTCATTGCAATGATATGGTCTGTATACATTAATTTTATGATTCCAATTTCCAATGAAATTTCTGGGACCTTGACTTTGCTAAATTGATCTTGATTCAATGTTATCACACATAGCCCAGTCTACCATCTATAACCCAACATTAACTGTGCAATGTTCATGTAAATTAAATTAGTTCAGAGTCTTAATTCTCACATGAATGCATATTTATGTAGTAGAAGTTTTTAAAAAATGTAAATTTCTTTACTTTCACTTTCCCTTTAAAAGCATCTGTTTTCCAAGGGTACAAGGAATCCTCTACATTTATTTTTATTCGTTGGTCAGGACGTACAACTGAAAAGATGGCAAATCCTCCATCTATGCTTCCATCTTTACAGTCAATATTCCTAAACTGGTCATCCCAATGTGCCTTCCTCAGGGATCTAAGCTGTACAGTTAACTGGTACCCCAATAAACCTACAAAAAAGCAGTTTTAACAATGGTATAATAAAGTGACTGACAAGTAATGTGGCAGTATTGAAAAGGATCAACTTTAAATTTCAATGTCTGTATAATGTTATTGCATGAAAATCGATCAGTAGGCACTTCATTTAAATAAGAATGCCACTTGTGTCTTCAATATATATATCAAAAAATTTTATTATTAGTCTTTACGCATGCAACAGTCACCCTTCTTGCTGGCTCCAAATTTACTTTGTATTCAATTAACAAGATTCCATATACACGTATAAACATGTTTACCTTATACTGTGGCATTATATGCCTTCTGGTAAAAGATCAGTAGTGGTTATCTACCCTTTAAGAGTACCAGGTTTGTCTGTCACAGGCTGTGTTCACAGGCAGACAAAATCCTCTTATGTTTAAAGAAGGACGACCCTTGACCTTATGACCCCAAAATCAATAGGGATGATTTTCTTTTTATTAAAGGTCCAAGTATATACAAAGTCTGATTTTTTCATAGCAAAGGAATAAAAAATTACTGTGCAGAAAATGTATTCATGCATCCAGAGTTTTAGTTTAACCTTGACTTCAGACCTTGAGATCTCAAAATCAATAAAGAATCTATTCTTAGTGATATCAGTGTACCAAGTTTAATTCCTGTCAAGCAAAGTGTTCTTTTATAAGATCCTGAATACTAAGATACTGAACCAAAATTTTTATATCCAAGTTTGACATTGACCTTTGACTGTTTGCCTTCAATATCAGTAAGGTCATCTACTTCTTTATGGATACATTTGTACCAAGTTTGATTACTATCAAGAGTTTCTCCAGATACTGAATGAACAATATCTTTAAATTTCCAAAGAAGTTACCTTTGGTACTGTGACATTAAAATCAATAGGCTTGGTTATCTACTTCATAGCAGGTACTAAATTACCAAGTCTGATTTTTTTCAAGCAAAGGAATAATAAATCATATTCATATATTTAGAGAAGTTCATCCTTGACTTGGAACCACAAAATCAATGGGAATATACTTCTAAGGGTGCCAGTCTACAAAGTTTGTCCGGTTTCTTAAAATACTGTAAAATCATATATTTTCGTGAGGTCAAATTTTCGTAGATTGAGGAAAAACTCTTGGTTTGTGGGAATTTGATTTCATGGATGAATTGTTGAGTAGTTATGCATGTAATATCTTTCATTTCGTGTTTAACATGAATATATGGGTCTCTTCATGCCTTGAAAATAACGAAAATTACACCCCAGTGAAAATTTGTGATTTTACTGTATCTTCCTATTTCATTAAAAGTTTTATCCTTGACCTTGTGACCTCAAGATCAATAGGGGTCATCTATTCCTTAGGAGTACCCATACAGACTGTGGAGCAGGCAAGTACATGTGTATACAGTAGAGTTCTGTAAAATTTTTCAAATGTTTAAACTTTTTCTCATATACTGAACATCAATTACCATGCCTTGTGCTCATTCCAGGATCTACACATTTATCATCAGGTGTTGAAAATGGTCTGCAAAGAAAAGTTAGCTCATAAATTGATTTGTATATACATCTGTAAGTGTTTGTTAGAAAATTAACAAAAATAAATATATACAAAATTTACTCTTTAACTTTAAAAGGTACTGTAATTCACTTTTTATTTGCAAGAATTTTATTTCACATTATTCTGTGACACCTGACCTGCAAAAATTCATTCTTGCATACAACACGTGTTTGTATTCTTAAATATTATTTAAAATTTAAAAACCAAAGAATTATCTTATGAAAATTAGGTGTTATGAAAATTTTATTTTCTGCAGTATGATTTTGTATATATATAAACGAAAAAAACATACTCCTCTGGTGTTCCATAAATACACTTCTGAACCAAATTATCCAAAGACAGGGCAAACGAAACAAAGGCCAACTCCTCCTCTCCCTGATAAAAACAAAGTAATTAAGGTCTTAGTATAGGTTTCTGTTCTCATTTTAAGAAATATTACAAAAAATGCCTTAATGCATTGCTCAGGGTTAAATCTATACAATGAACAAGAGACTTTGCTGATGGGTTAATGCATTCTCTTCCCAATATGACATCCACCCATGGGATACTAAACAAATATTGACTGATGTTGAGGGCATGTTATCCATCAAGGGCAAGGAGTAAAAGGGTAAAACATGTAACCCCTCCATCTAATACTTTTCAAGATATAAGGTGTGACAGAAGGGCAGACTAAATACAGATGCCCGGCAAATTAATCCCTTAGTGTTGCTCTACTTTGCAGGAACTCAAATACACTGGCGGTATGGTATAAAGTGACTAAATACCTTATACATAGTTACAGTCAGAATGTGTGCTAAACTGTATACCTTATACATAGCTATAGTCAGTCCATGTGCTAAACTGTATACCTTATACATAGCTATAGTCAGACCGTGTGCTAAACTGTATACCTTATACATAGCTATAGTCAGTCCCTGCTTTATACCTTATACACAGCTATAGTCAGTCTCTGTGGTAAGCTGTATACCCTATACATAGCTATAGTCAGTCCCTGCTATATACCTTATACATAGCTATAGTCAGTTCCTGTAGCTGTATACCTTATACATAGCTATAGTCAGTCTCTAGGGTAAGCTTTATACCTTATACAGAGCTATAGTCAGACCCTGGGGTAAGCTGTATATTTATATAAAGCTATAGTCAGTCCCTGCTGTATACCTCATACATAGCTATAGTCAGTCCATGTAGCTGTATACCTTATACATAGCTATAGTCAGTCTCTATGGTAGGCTGTATATTTATATAAAGCTATAGTCAGTCCCTGCTATATACCTTATACATAGCTCTAGTCAGTCGCTGTAGCTGTATACCTTATACATAGCTAAAGTCAGTCTCTAGGGTAAGCTTTATACCTGATACATAGCTATTGTCAGTCTCTATGGTAAGTTGTATACCTTATACATAGCTATAGTCAGTCCCTGCTGTATACCTTATACATAGCTGTAGTCAGTCCCTGCTGTAGCTATAGTCAGTCTCTATGGTACGCTGTATACCTTATACAAAGCTAAAGTCAGTCCCTGTAGCTGTATACCTTATACAAAGCTATAGTCAGTCCCTGTAGCTGTATACCTTATACATAGCTATAGTCAGTCCCTGGGGTAAGTTGTATACCTTATATCTAGCTATAGTCAGTCTCTGCTGTATACCTTATACATAGCTATAGTCAGTCTCTATGGTAAGCTGTATACCTTATACAGAGCTATAGTCTGCCCCTGCTGTATACCTTATACATAGCTATAGTCAGACCCTGGGGTAAGCTATATACCTTATACATAGCTATAGTCAGTCCATGTAGCTGTATACCTTATACATAGCTATAGTCAGTCTCTATGGTAAGCTGTATACCTTATACATAGCTATAGTCAGTCCCTGCTGTATACCTTATACATAGCTATAGTCAGTCCATGTAACTATATACCTGATACATAGCTATAGTCAGTCTCTATGGTAAGCTGTATATCGATATAAAGCTATAGTCAGTCCCTGCTATATACCTTATACATAGCTATAGTCAGTTCCTGTAGCTGTATACCTTATACATAGCTATAGTCAGTCTCTAGGGTAAGCTTTATACCTTATACAGAGCTATAGTCAGACCCTGGGGTAAGCTGTATATTTATATAAAGCTATAGTCAGTCCCTGCTGTATACCTTATACATAGCTATAGTCAGTCCACGTAGCTGTATACCTTATACATAGCTATAGTCAGTCTCTATGGTAGGCTGTATATTTATATAAAGCTATAGTCAGTCCCTGCTATATACCTTATACATAGCTCTAGTCAGTCGCTGTAGCTGTATACCTTATACATAGCTATAGTCAGTCTCTAGGGTAAGCTTTATACCTGATACATAGCTATTGTCAGTCTCTATGGTAAGTTGTATACCTTATACATAGCTATAGTCAGTCCCTGCTGTATACGTTATACATAGCTGTAGTCAGTCCCTGCTGTATACCTTATACATAGCTATAGTCAGTCTCTATGGTACGCTGTATACCTTATACAAAGCTATAGTCAGTCTCTGTAGCTGTATACCTTATACAAAGCTATAGTCAGTCCCTGTAGCTGTATACCTTATACAAAGCTATAGTCAGTCCCTGTAGCTGTATACCTTATAGATAGCTATAGTCAGTCCCTGGGGTAAGTTGTATACCTTATATCTAGCTATAGTCAGTCTCTGCTGTATACCTTATACATAGCTATAGTCAGTCTCTATGGTAAGCTGTATATCTTATACAGAGCTATAGTCTGCCCCTGCTGTATACCTTATACATAGCTATAGTCAGACCCTGGGGTAAGCTATTTACCTTATACATAGCTATAGTCAGTCCATGTAGCTGTATACCTTATACATAGCTATAGTCAGTCTCTATGGTAAGCTGTATACCTTATACATAGCTATAGTCAGTCCCTGCTGTATACCTTATACATAGCTATAGTCAGTCCATGTAGTGTATACCTTTACATAGCTATAGTCAGTCTCTATGGTAAGCTGTATATTTATATAAAGCTATAGTCAGTCCCTGCTATATACCTTATACATAGCTATAGTCAGTCCCTGTAGCTGTATACCTTATACATAACTATAGTCAGTCTCTAGCGTAAGCTTTATACCTTATACAGAGCTATAGTCAGACCCTGGGGTAAGCTGTTTATTTATATAAAGCTATAGTCAGTCCCTACTGTATACCTTATACATAGCTATAGTCAGTCCCTGCTGTATACCTTATACATAGCTATAGTCAGTCTCTATGGTAAGCTGTATACCTTATACATAGCTATAGTCAGTCTCTATGGTAGGCTGTATACCTTATTCATAGCTATAGCCAGTCCGTGTGCTTAACTGTTTACCTTATACATAGCTATAGTCAGTCCCTATAGCTATATACCTTATACATAGCTATAGTCAGTCTCTATGGTAAGCTGTATACCTTATTCATAGCTATAGTCAGTCCGTGTGCTAAACTGTATACCTTATACATAGCTATAGTCAGTCCCTGTAGCTATATACCTTATACATAGCTATAGTCAGTCTCTATGGTAAGCTGTATACCTTATACATAGCTATAGTCAGTCTCTATGGTAGGCTGTATACCTTATTCATAGCTATAGCCAGTCCGTGTGCTAAACTGTTTACCTTATACATAGCTATAGTCAGTCCCTATAGCTATATACCTTATACATAGCTATAGTCAGTCTCTATGGTAAGCTGTATACCTTATACATAGCTATAGTCAGTTCCTGTAGCTGTATACCTTATACATAGCTATAGTCAGTCTCTATGGTAAGATGTATACCTTATACATAGCTATAGTAAGTCCTGCTTTATACCTTATACATAGCTATAGTCAGTCCGTGTGCTAAACTGTATACCTTATACACAGCTATAGTCAGTCTCTTTGGTAAGCTGTATACCTTATACATAGCTATAGTCAGTCTCTATGGTAAGCTGTATACCTTATACATAGCTATAGTCAGTCTCTATGGTAAGCTGTATACCTTATACATAGCTATAGTCAGTTCCTGTAGCTGTATACCTTATACATAGCTATAGTCAGTCCGTGTGCTAAACAGTATACCTGATACATAGCTATAGTCAGTTCATGTGCTAAAGGTATACCTTATACGCAGCTATAGTCAGTCCCTGCTATATACCTTATACATAGCTATAGTCAGTCCTGCTATATACCTTATACATAACTATTGTCAGTCCCTGTATCTATATACCTTGCATATAGCTACAGTCATCTCCAGGGATAAGCTGTATATCTTATACATAGTTATAGTCAGTCCCAGTAGCTGTATACCTTATGCAAAGCTATAGTCAGTCCCTGGGGTAAGCTGTATATATATATAAAGCTACAGTCAGTCCCTGCTATATACCTTAAACAAAGCTATAGTCAGCCACTGCCACTGCTATAAACCTTATATATAGCTTATGTCAGCCCCTGCTTAAAGCTGTATACCTTATACAAAACTATAATCAGCCCCTATAGTTGTATACCTTATACATAGCTAAAGTCAGTCCCTGTAGCAGTATACCTTATACATGTACATAGCTATAGTCAGCCCTGTAGCAGTAAAACCTTATACAGTGGACCTTCAGATATCTGGACGCCAGATATCCGGATGCTTCAGTATCTGGACGCTTTTTCATCAGAACAGAATTTTAAAATGTTATTATGTCTTGTTTAACTGGTGATTCAGGTATTCAGATGCTTCACATATCTGGACAAATTGACAGGGGACCAAAGTGTCCGGATAAATGAGGCTCCACTGTACATAGCTAAAGTCAATCCCTGCTTAATACCTTATACATTGCTATAATCAGTCTCTATGTTAAGCTGTATACCTTATACATAGCTATAGTCAGTCCCTTTAGCAGTATACCTTATACATAGCTATAGTCAGTCCCTGTAGCTATATACCTTATACATAGCTATAGTCAGTCTCTATGGTAAGTTGTATACCTTATACATAGCTATAGTCAGTCCCTGCTGTATACCTTATACATAGCTATAGTCTGCCTCTGCTGTATACCTTAAACATAGCTATAGTCAATCCCTGCTGTATACCTTATACATACAGCTAAAGTCAGTCTCTAGGGTAAGCTGTATACCTTATACAGAGCTATAGTCAGTCCCTGTAGCTGTATACCTTATACATAGCTATAGTCAGTCTCTATGGTAAGCTGTATACCTTATACAGAGCTAAAGTCAGTCCCTGCTGTATACCTTATACATAGCTATAGTCAGTCTCTATGGTAAGCTGTATACCTTATACAGAGCTATAGTCTGCCCCTGCTGTAAACCTTATACATAGCTATAGTCAGACCCTGGGGTAAGCTGTATATTTATATAAAGCTATAGTCAGT